CACGAACCCTTTGATAAAGAATTTCATAATACAGTTACGTACTGTAACCCCAGATTTTATGACTATAGGCGTAGCCCTTTAAGCGTCGGGCCTCACTGGCTCCTGCTGACCAGCTCTGTGAGGTGCTGGCAGACATCTTTAACACCTCACTTACCCTGGAGACAGTTCCCACCTGCCTGAAGACTGCCACCATCATCCCAGTACCAAAAAGCTCTACAGTGACTGGTCTGAATGACTATCGGCCAGTGGCCCTCACCCCGATAGTCGCTAAATGCTTTGAAAAACTGGTCATGACTCGCATCAAAACAACCATCAACATCAACGAGGACCCTCATCAGTATGCATACTGTGAGAACCGATCAACAGAGGACGCCATCTCTTCTGTGGTCCACACTGCGCTCAACCACCTGGAGCAGAAAAACTCTTACGTCCGTATGCTCTTTGTGGACTTCACATCCGCCTTCAACACCATGATCCCCCAAACCCTGATGGACAAACTATCCACACTAGGACTAAGCCCCTCCATTTGCAACTGGGTACTAGACTTTTTAACAAACAGACCACAGTTAGTGAAGATCCACAACCTCTCCTCCTCCACCATAACCCTCAGCACTGGCTCTCCTCAGGGATGTGTGTTGAGCCCCCTCCTGTTTACTCTGCTCACGTATGATTGTGCAGCTACCCATCCAGGCTGTCACATTGTAAAGTTTGCAGATGATACAGCGGTGGTGGGATGCATCACAAACAATGATGAGTCCAGCTACAGGCAAGAGGTGGAACACCTGGAGAGCTGGTGCAAAGAGAATAACCTTCACATCAATGTGAAGAAGACAAAGGAGATGATTGTGGACTTCAGAAGGAACAAAAACATCTACACCCCCCTGAACATAAGAGGATCTGCGGTGGAAGTGGTCTCCAGCTACAAGTACTTGGGTGTACACATGAATGACAACCTCAGCTGGAGCAACAACACCACCAGCCTGATCAAGAAAGCTCATCAGAGACTCTACTTCCTCAGACGGCTGAGGCGAGCTGGTCTGGGAAGCTCAGTCCTCACCTCCTTCTACAGATGTGCAGTGGAGAGCATCCTGTGCTCGAGCATCAATGTGTGGCATGGAGGCTGCACAGCTGCAGAAAGAAAAGCCTGCAAGAGAGTGGTGAAGGCTGCACAGAAATCTGTCGGAATCAGCCTCCCCACCATCACAGACATCTACACCTCCAGATGCAGGAAGAGGGCCACCTGCATCATGAAGGACCCCACTCACCCAGCACACACACTTTTTGCCCCACTCCCCTCAGGAAGGAGGTTGAGGAGCATTAAGTGTAGAACCACTAGACTGAGGAACAGCTTCTACCCTGAGGCTGTTAGACTCATGAATCTCTAACTAGAATAATCACTGTGAAAAACCATATCATGTTGCTGCTGATCTGTTTCATGTTGCTGCTGATCTGTTTCAATGTTGATGTGTTCATGCTTGCCTTTAACACGGTGTGATTTGTTTTGGTCCGGTCTGTTCTCTACTCTGTTGGCCATTTTAGTTAGCTTCTGCTGCTATTTGTATATGTATTTCTATTTTATGTTTTCCTGTCTGCTGTGCATGTTTGGTTCTTTTGTACAGCACTTTGGTTGGCCTTGTTGCTGTTTTAAGTGCTATATAAATAAATTGGTATGGTATGGTATGCGTGCACATCTGCTCACAGACTCATGTTCATGTTTGTGCTGATGTTCAATGTTTAAAGTTATGAGTGCTGAGTGTATATTTAGTTGATGTTATTCTTAGTTCATATCTTAGATGTTATTACTGTTTTTCTTTTACATTTTATTGTTGGATGTAACTCGGACCCCATGTACATAATTTCGCTCCACCACATGTACCACATGAGGTGCGAATGACAATAAAGAAACTCTGACTCTGACTAAATGGCTGAAGAAAAAAGCTATTTGGGAGACGATTACCCGCTATTAACATAACTTATACGGACCGGGTGGGGCCCACACAGCAGGTGGGCGTGGACTAAACTTTTCAGTGTAATGCTTCGCATGACGGGATAAAACCCACTAAGCAACAGCTCTTAAAGGGCTACTCCTATACTCATAGAATCTGGGTTTTACAGTACGTAACCATCATTTTTGTATTGAACGTTTTTTGAACTTATCATGTCCTGGATGACTGAGAATCTTCACCAGTGTCTTGAGTCATCCTGACTGGGTTCCTTACAACACTGTACCTGTAACCCCACTGGATCAAGCTGCACAGACATCAAAGATGGATGAAACTGCACCCCCAGGTGAAGCTGCCCAGGGTCCAGAGGTAGACAGCTCGGCTGCTGATTGTGTAGCCACAGACGTATTGAAATCAACCACTTGCTGGTGGAGAATAGGAAATTGAAGGATGAGCTGCCCTGAAAGAAAATGGATGAGTAATTCTTACAAGATGATGTGATGGTCAGGTACCACACTGGACTTCCATGTTTAGCTGTTTTGATGGGTGTGCTGACTCAGCTTCTTCCCCGTTTACCACAGACAGTCCAAAAACTTTCACCTTTTCAGATGCTCCTCCTAAAACCAATGTGCCTGAGACTGAATCTGGCAGTCCAGCACATTGCACACCTCTTCGGTATTGACCGAAAGACTGTGGTTTGTAACTGTGGTCATGGTTTTACTAGACAAAATTGTGACTGTGCTGTGCTTTGACTAATATGTGCCCTAGTGTTGTTTTGAAACTATGAACTGGTAAATAACATTAAACTGAACATGAACTCTTAACATTTTGCATATTGTGAATAAATGATGGAAGAATAATTAAATTTTCTAGAATTTATTTGTGTCACAACGAGTTTTGAAAACAAGAATATAATATTGTCTGTGTAAACAAAGACATTTGAAAATGTATTTTACACAAAATCAGAAATTAATATTGCACTGACAATGTCAGATTAAAACTGCTAAAAAAACACCATTGCAAACTTCAATATAGAACAGTGATGAAAAACAAAATATAACTAAATGTTCAGCTTAAAACAATCACTGCAGTTCACATTAAAACAGGTAAAAAAACCAGTGTGAACATCAGTATGCAACGGTGATGAAGTAAACATTTAAAATTGTAACAAATAACTAAATATTACACTGTAAACACTCACTTCTTTTCTGAGTAAAACTAGTAAATTGGCCATGTAAACTAGTTAGAGAAAAAAGGTTTAAAAAAATCCCTGACTTTACAACTTTAAACAATAATTTCAGATTAAAACTGGTAACTGGTAAAGTGGCAGTGAGTGTAAACGTCAATATAGAACAGTAGTTATTATTATTATTATTATTATTATTATACACCTCTGCTTGAACTTTGTCAACATCAGTGGGTATCATCCAATAGGCTGGAACATCAGTGATGGTTCTGGCCCTCCGTATGTGCACGTGCTACTTCAATTTTAAACAGCAGAGCCTCAATGTGTGTGCATGTCATGACTGCAATGCATGTGCAGAGTGCACTGTTCACTTGGCCACTGGAACTGATGATCACCCATGGTTTAAGCGGTGGCTCATTGAGGCGCTGAGAGTGCAAAACCTAAGACACAAAATGTGTAAAATTAATACTACAGTAATAATAATAACAAAAATGAAAACGATCAAAAACAAGTTTTTAACACGTTTTATTTTTTATTTTTTAACAAACACATCACCAGACACAACAGTCACAGTACTGTTTTGTTTAGAGACCACACTGAAAGTAAACCTTATCCATTGTGGTCTAAGTGAAATACAATAATCTAATACAATCAGAATGTGAAAAGTCTCACAGTTTAACAGTAGTCGCCATACAACATTTTTCAGTCAGGTCATCTGGACAGTTTCTTTTTTTGTGCTGAAACGTTTCGCCTTCGATCCAGAAGGCTTCATCAGTTAAGTAAACGCACAACAAAACTGATTCTTCCCCCAACAGCTTACTCCAAAGTAGAACAAACCAGTTTTGTTTGTGCTAAGATGGTTTCTTTAGTATGCCCCCTCCTCCATTGCCGGCCCTCTTCCTTGTTGACATTCGTGCCAAACTGGTTGAAAACAACAGTCCATGCTCAGCACAAAAAAAAGAAACTGTCCAGATGACCTGACTGAAAAATATTGGATTGTATACCTGGATTACTGAGCATGAACTTTGTTGGTAGTAGTCACCATAAACAACATGGAACAGTAGAGTTTTGAAGGTGCAATGACCAGACGTGATGCAGTCTTTAGCCTCTGTAGGTTGAGAGACGTGTGCGTGTTTTCACCTACCTTTGTGAGAACTATGGTTTTCTGGTCATTGACGCTGAAAATCAGCAGATCATGCATCCGTCCATTTGTAAATTGAAGATGAACTTCAAAAAATTTATAATTCTTGAACTGCTGAATGTGTAGGTGCTCACTCCACAAACAAGGTAGCTAAACAAATCTGGAAACTTTAATGGTGGTAACTCGTTAAAATTACTTGTCCACGCATAGTGTTCGTATGGATCAAGCCCATTAATTACCCTTATTTTCTCTGTGTAGCACTCCTTTGCATCCTTTAGTTTTTCAACATAAGGAGCCTTGCTCTTGCTATTCCGACGGCCCATTTCTGTTTTTTAGTCTGCTGCTTGTGTGTTACGTGTCGGTAAAGATTGCGACCGAAATCCCATCACGTGGTTGCCCATTCTCTGTTCATTTACGTGAGAAAATGTAAATTAATCAATTCTATCAATGAAAAAATGCGTTAAATGAAATTAAAGGTGGTCAAACAGGATATGACACTTTGCGGCCAAATGGTGTTTATGCATAGCAGTTTCCTCTTGGGTTAATTTAAAAGACAGTACCACGATTTGAGCTCGGCCCTGCAATTGGTTTGATAAATAAACAATTTTTTAATTTATATTGTTAATAGTAGTTACTTTGAATACTCGTATATCTTTAACATAGTTTTAAATTTGTTGAATTGTTTTAATTAATATTGTTGTGAACTAAAATATTCCTGTCTTCTTTTAAGGAATCCGTGGTGGATTTCACAAGTGGACGCAATTCTGCAGGCTGCTTCCTGAATGTACTTGCTCCCTCTCTGTTTGGTATGGCTTTTCTTTCATTTGTTAATTGTTATTTAGGCCCGAGCAGCGAAGCGCTGCTGTAATCGCTTTGTTCATTCTTTATTGTATGAATGCCTTGTCATTCACACTGTTGTGATCCTGTTTATATTTGTGTGAATGCCTACAAGGCATTCACACCATTTTGATTATTATTGTGTGAATGTCTAAAAGGCAGACTAGGGCTGGTACCTTTCTAAAAAAATCGGTATCGGTACCGGTGTCGGTACCTTCACTTCGGTGTCGGTTCCTGGACGGTTCTTTTTTCTGTACCAATTTTGTAATTACTATTAATTCTAACAAATAAAATTACGTTACACATTACAGTACAAATTGTGAATTTTATTTTTTAACTTTGGTATTTCTATTCAAAGCAGTTTTCTTACATTAAAATAAACAAATAATTTCCAGTTCAAAAGAACAGTTTCAAACCAGTGACACGTCAGTGTCTAATGCTCACTGCTACACACTGAGGACCTTTTCACTTAACAGTTTTTCTTCAGAAACAACATGTCTGCTTTCCCTGGACACAAACAAGCCCACTCCTGGCTGATGGTGTCGCCAGCAGTAGAAAATGTTCACTCTGAGGCTGTAGATGATGATTGTTGCACACACAGATACCTGGTTGTCAGTTTGATAGCACTGACATATTGTCCCTCACATTCCACCAGCAGGTCACTGGATTCACTGAGGTTATGTTTGATGCAGACTTCTGTACCTCTGTGTCTCTGCCTGAATCTTCTCTGTGGTTCTTTGGGGTTTAGGGCTCTGATCATCTCCCTAATTGACATGAGAACAAAACATTAACAATAGGTTGGTTGTGTTATTATTACTCAAAAAACATTATCTAGGCTGAGAGATGAAAGCTTAACTGGTCAACAAAATACTTTACAGTTTACTTACCTCCACCATGCAGCTCCACTGTAGAAAAAGCAGCAAACTTTTAACAACAAAGTTTATGACTGTCCTGTGGCCCCCACCTCGCTTTTCTTTTGTCGTCCTCACATCAGGGTCAGAGGCTCTTGTGAGGAGAACATTAACAAAAAGTGAACATTAGTGAAATGTTTAAGCAGCTGACTGGATGGATGAGCACATTTTTACAATCTAAGCTTTATCTGTTACTGTCAATCTTTAGTTAGCTTCTGATTTGAGCTAGCTACATAGATACCCATACAATAAATTTACACACTAATATCTTAAAAATTTAGCGTTACATGGATCATAGTTTAATTCACCGCAATGTACGTGTTAAGCTGCAGTAACGTTAACAAACATAAACTCACCAGCTGAAACACAGACACAGAGCCGTCCTCAGAGTTCTTTGATGAAGAGTCTGGTCGTGGAGATAATGAATCAGCAAGTTCAGGCTCTCTAACACTCACAGGCTGACTTTAATGCTGAGAGGAGGAGGAGGAGGAGGGGGAGGCTGCTGTCCTCCTCTCTCCTCGCAGATAGACACGGAGCAACTTTCTGCTCGCGTGTTGTCGAACGGTTTCGACAACACGCGCTGCACACGTGAACCCTGTCTGTGGGCGTCACTAGCACCATAGACATACATTAGACATAGATTAGGTACGGCAGCTCTATACAGCTCTGGGTGTAAACACGTAGTCTGTCATATGTCTGGTGTTTTACCTGCCTGCGTGTTGAAACCACGTGACACGTTACAGCCAATACCGAAACTTGACACCGAAAGAACAGTGACGTTTCAATCCATACACCGACTGGTGCAGTTCGGTCGGTGCCATAAAAGAACCTCGGTTCAGTACTCAGCCCTAGCATTCACACTATTGTGATCCTGTTTATATTTATTATTATTATTGTATGAATGCCACAAGGCATTCACATTATAGTGATCCTGTGATCCGAGCAGCGAAACGCTGCTGTAATCTCTCTGTTCATTCTTTATTGTATGAATGCCTTGTCATTCACACTATTGTTATCCTGTTTATATTTATTATTATTATTGTAGGGGAATATATGTACATAGGGCTGAGTATCGAACTGATGTTCTTAAATGGCACCACCCGAACTGCACCTGTCGGTGTATGAATTGAAACGTCACTCTTTTTTCAGTGTCAAGTTTCGGTATTGGCTGTAACATGTCACGTGGTTTCAGCACGCAGGCAGGTAAAACACCAGACATATAGCAAACAGACTACGTGTTTACACCCAGAGCTGTACAGAGCTGCCGCGCCTAATCTATGTATAATGTATGTCTATGTTGCTGGTGACGCCCACAGACGGGGTTTACATGTGCAGCGCGTGTGTTGTCGAACGGCTCCGACAACACACGAGCAGAAAGTTTCTCCGTGTTTCTCTGCAAGAAGACAGACGGACAGCATCCTCTTTCCCCTCCTCTTCTCAGCGTTAGTCAGTCTGTGTATTAAATGGACTGAATCAACATCTCCACGGCCGGACTCATCTTCATCAAAGAACTCCTGAGGGCTGCTATGTGTTGGTGTTTCAGCTGGTGAGTTTACGCTTGTTAACGTTATTGCAGCTTAACGTGTACATCGCGGTGAAATAATGCAAACTTTACGATATTAGTGTGTAAATTTATTTTATCTACGTAGCTAGCTAAACTCAGAAGCTAACTAAAGATTGACAGTAACAGATAAATCTTAGCTAGTAAAACTGCTCATCCATCCAGTCAGCTGCTTAAACAGTTCACCTAATATTCACCGTTTGTTTATGTTTATGTTCTCCTCACAGGAGCCTCTGACCCAGATGTGAGGACAGACAGAAAAGTGAGGTGGGGGCCACAGGACAATCACAGACTTAGTTGTTAAAAGTTTGCTGTCTTCTCTAAAAGTGGAGCTGCACGGTAGAGGTAAGTTAAGCTTTAAAGGATAAGATTAAAGGATCAGTTAATCTTTTATCTCTCAGCCTAGATAATGTTTTTTGAGTATTAATAACACAACCATGTTATTGTTGATGTTTTGTGTTCTCGTGTCAATTAGGGAGATGATCAGAGCCCTAAACCCCAGAGAACCACAGAGAAGATTCAGGCAGAGACACAGAGGTACAGAAGTCTGCATCAACCGTAACCTCAGTGAATCCAGTGACCTGCTGGTGGAATGTGAGGGACAATATGTCAGTGCTATCAAACTTGACAACCAGGTATCTGTGTGTGCAACAATCATCATCTACAGCCTCAGAGTGAACATTTTCTACTGCTGGAAACCCCATCAGCCAGGAGCGGGCTTGTTTGTGTCCAGAGAAAGCAGACGTGTTGATGTTTCTGAAGAAAAACTGTTAAGTGAAAAGGTCCTCAGTGTGTAGTAGTGAACATTAGACACTGACATGTCACTTGTTTGCAACTGTTCTTTTGACCTGGAAAATTATTTGTTTATTTTAATGTAAGAAAACTGCTTGGAATAGAAATACCAAAGTTAAAAAATAAAATTCACAATATGTACTGTAATGTGTAATGTAATTTTATTCTTGTTAGAATTAATATTAATTACAAAATTGGTACCGAAAAGAGAACCGCCCAGGAACAGACACCGAAGAGAAGGTACCGACACCGGTACCAATACCGATTTTTTTTTTTTTTTTTTTTTTAGAAAGGTAGCCAGCCCTATATGTACAGGATATTGGACTTCTTGTCCAGTCAAACCCGTACCCTTTAACAGGCATTTACTCTGGACTCTGTCCGACCACAGGCTCTCCTGCTCGGACTCGCTCTCTCTGACACCGACCTCCTCCTCTCTGGAGCTCTGTCACCTCCAGAGAGTCAGCCTAGCATCTGTCATTACTCTATCCGACCACAGCTCACCTGCTCGGACCGACCTCACCTCAAACATATATAAACCATGAGTTCTTGTAAAGAACTTAATTCCTGTCCCTCGAAGAAAACGCAAAGAATCAGTAATTTAAATACAATTCTGTAATGTTTATTTTCAGTTTGAATTATGACATGAAAATTATGGCAAATGTTGAATATGAATATGAACCAATAATATTATTTTATAAAGTAAATAGCATAAATTTGAGGACTTTGAGAAGGAGATTTGATTCAATTTGGACTAAGGTCTAGCTCTTAACATTAAAATTTAGGTAAGCTTATTAAGCTTTTTGTCATGGCGACCAGTCTCTGTTGTAGTGAACCTAACCTAAGGTTAGGTTCACTACAGTTTGGTGGCCCGTCTACGTGTTCATAAAATGGACTGTGTATTCGTGTAAAGATTGATTTTACATGTTGGCATGAAAAATAACAGTTTGTCAGCTGTGCTGAAACGCCTCTGAAGCTGCGCCGCTTGGAGCTTGGCTCTGCATGTTTACGCTGTGTTACGCTGGCGATGTTATGAAAGCTGAAATAGTGTCATTGAGTCTTTATGAAAGCTGAAATTGTACGCCTGTTATGGTAACTAAAAGCTGGGTTTGGGTGGAAACGCTTCATTCTGTTTAAAGACGGTCCAGACGCGGTTCTGGTACCGGCTCGGTTCTGAAAAGGTTCGGACGAGTTGTTTAAATAGCTAGAAAGACGTTTTTGAGACCGGAGTAGCAGACTCCGTGCAACTCAGAATTGATTCGTTACAGTTTTTAACAGAAAAAGTGCATTTTGACAGTTTAAAAGACGAAAAGTTGACGAACTTATTTCAGGCTAATCTAACATGCTAGTTGGAAAAAACGCTTCGTGATTGGTTGGATTTGCTGCTGTGGAGCGCTCTGATTTGCTGAGAAAGTGAATGACGTGCCTACGTCACTTCCTCTCACCCCTGTGCTGCTTTGTCATTGGTGATTTCAGTCACGTGACCCGGAAATGAAGACTCGTTTTCATAAGGAAATAAAATCTGCTTTTTAAAGTTAAAAAACGCTTTAAAAGCTGTATTCTGATCAACTGTTAAGTTCTTCAAAGTCCAATTGCTAAAATTTCGCCGCGTTTGAGTTTAAAATCCGTCATTAAATGATGTTTTTGAACAACGCTAGCGATGCTAATTTTAAGCTAACAGCTAACGACCGGATGAGTGACGTGTCAC